ATTTAATTATCTTTATAACTATTACTTTATTTTGAGATTATTTAAAGGCAAAGTATATTTTACCTAAGATTTCTCTAGTATTAAGTCTATAATTCTATAAGTAGTTAGGCCTAATTACTATTTATTAAATATATTTATAAATAAGTTCGAAATAATTAACTAAATAAAATTAGCTAAAGAATTTAATAATAATATTTAAGAAATAGATTAATATATATACTTTTAGCTTATATAAATCTTCTGGTCTAATTTATTTATTTCTATATTACTTATATTAGAATAATACCGAGAATCCCAAATATAAATATATAAAGTCCAAATATAATATTAATTATATTATTAAATAAAAGGCTTTATAATTTTAATAATATATTATAATAATAAAGACTCTAACTAATTCGAAGCTAGAAAGGCTTTAGAGAAATATAAAAGTTTCTTAGGGGCCTTTAAATATCTCCTTTAGTATTTTATTAATATTTTAATAACTTAATAATTTATTAATATTTTTATTTTTATTTATTAGTTAGTAACTTATTAAAACATTAATCTTTTATTCTTCGTTTATTAGTTATTAGCTTATTAAAGTATTAACCTATTACTTATTTAGTAGTATTAATAAAAGCCTTTATAAAAGCTTTAAAATACTATTATTTATAACTATAGGAAATAGAAATAGAAATAATTTAGTAGTATTTAAGGTAGAATAAAAGTAGTTATATAGCTAGTTATAGAAATTTCTAAAAGAATATTAACTTTATATAATAAAATACTACTAGTATAACTATAAATATAATATTAGATAAGAGCTATAAATTCTTTCTTACTTATTAAAATACTTAGTATTTTATATATTTCTTATATTTTTATTCAAATAAATCCGGAATATAAATTTCCTTATACTTAAAGATAATTCGGGGTCTAAAAACGAATTATATTAATTTTCTATAATACGAATACTAGCTATTATCTAAAGCTCTTATCTAGACAAATCTATAAATAGAAACTTTATTTAAGTAAATGAATTAATTCTATTATATTAAAGCCATAAATTAGAAAAATGTTATATATAAGCCAAGAAAGAATTTTATTATATATTATAAAAGGGCAAATATAGAAAGCTATATTTTTAGGCTTAATCTATAATCTAGTAATAGAATAATAGAAACCTAATACTAATTACTTGGCTCTAAGCCTCTTTTATATAATAAATAATATAAAGATTATTAATAATATTATAATACTAGTATAAATAAGAGCTTTTATATACTAACTAATTATATTTCTTTTTTCTATATCTATAACTAATTCAAGCCCATATATCTCTAATTATATATAGTAAAGAATAATAGTAAATATAATAAAAGAAATAAAGTATAATATAGCTAATAAACTAATTCCTAATCTTAGAAAGAAAGTTATAATAGAAATTAGTTTAAATATTAAATAAATAAATATAATAGCTATAAAAATTAAAAAACCTAGGCTAAATACTAAAGAGTCTTAAATAAATATAAATATAACTTTTATTATAATTACTTCTAGAGGCTAAAAAGACTAAATTTCGTTATTAATAAAGCTTATAATAATTTCTGGTATTATATTAGAAATATTTAATAATAAGTTATTATATTTCATATAATTACTAAAGCTTATATAGAATTATTTAATCCTAAGTAAATAATTTCTTGGAATTAATACTTTAATTATATTAATTTTAGAAATAGCTATTTTAGTAATATCTATAATATTCTAAATTTTACTACTAGTAGTAATAATAGCTATTATAAGTATACTTGCTATATTCTAAACTTTACTTTAGAGTAATTAGATAAGATTACTTCCTGATATAATATGCGGCTTAACTAAGGGATTTAGTAAATAGATATTAGTTAAATTAAACTATAATTAAAAGTATATTAGCTAGGTAATAAGAAAAAAGAAGTGAAATTCATATAGTTAAAGTTATAATACCTGCTTTTACTATCTTATCTTGGGTTAGTAACTAAATTCCTAATACTATATAATAGAGAGTAGTAAAGAAGAAAACTACTAGGGTCTCTAATTTTAGCTAATTTTTGCTTTATAGTATTTTGAAACTCTAATTTAAAGTTAATTTAAAATTAAGTAAGCCGGAATATAAGTATAGCAAGTATATATACTCAGGAATAAGTATAATTTAGGATAGGAGAGCCTTAAATAGCTTTATTAAAGGCTAGTATTTATTCCTATATAAAACTAAAAATAGTAGATTTAATATTATAGGGCCTATTCTAGTACTTAAGAAGCCTTTTTCTCTTACTAGTACTCTTACTTCTGGAATTAATACTAAAAAGGTTATATTTTACTAAAAGTAAGATACTATAATATATTTTCTAGTTAGTAAGTCTAATTTATTTATTAACTATAATAAAATAATAAGTACTCTATAAGCGTAATTTAATAATACTATTAATATTATATAAGAAAATATAAAAAAAGTATTATATAAGAGAGAAAGTTTAGATTTATTATAAAAATAAACTAATAACCTTATTATATTATCCCGCGGCTTTTGTTATAGGGCTAATAAAATATGTAAACGGATATACTAGTAGGCAGAATTAGTTCCTATAGTATAGATAGAGCCAAATTTAGACTACTAATATTGTATTATAAATCTTTAGAAGATTATAGAAGCTTGATTTTTAAATATATAATATATTATAATTACAGAATATATATTAATATCCGTTCCTGGATCGAGAGATATATCCTGTTACGAGATAAACCATAGGTACTTTGAATTCAAGCGGCTCTAAATCTTTAAACATATTAAAATTTCTATATATTTTTATTTTAGTTATATTATATATCTCTCCCGAATACTCCTGACTTATTAACTCCAAAAATTACAATTGCGTTATCGCCGCCCCCTTGAATTTATAAAGAGCCTCCTTTTATAGTATAATAAGACCTCTCGACCCGTAATACTACTATTAAGCTCTTTTTACCTTTTAAACTCATAGAATAATTAGATATAGATATCCGAGTTTTATTATAATACTAAGAAGCCATTATTACTCTTGTAGTAGCCGGGGCGTATTATGTCATATGATGTTGCCATATAGACTGATACTTTCTCTAATAAGCGATCGAGGATCCTGGTTAACTATATCGTGGTTATAGTAATCTTGGTAAAATTTATTATATTTTTGTAATAAAAATCTGTGGCTACTAAACGTGGGGCTGCGACGTTTGTGGCTCGCATACCTTGCCGGAAAATTCCGTTTCCCGATATCCTCCGACCAGAGCAAGAAGTGGCCCTATGCGCAGCCAATAAAATCGGCCCATCCTCTTCTTCGGGTAAGAAATGCTTCTGTTGCAACAAACTTCCGACTTTTCACTTCCGGCTTTTCACTTCCGGCTTTTTACTTCCGGCTTTTCACTTCCGGCTTTTCACTTCCGGCTTTTCACTTCCGGCTTTTCACTTCCGATTTTTCTTTTCTCTCAAATTGTTTTACGCTCTGCCTAGAACGACGAACCTCTTCGATTTTTAGCCCTAGCCTCTAAGGGGAATCCGCTTCTCTTGCAAAATTGCTAACGAATTCGAAGATGACCTTATTAATGACAGAGTCCGTAAGGGTCGGAAGAGTGCCGAGAGGAGCAGGATTATAGTACTGCCTGAGGATTTAGCTAATACTGGCGAAAATCGGTATATAGATTTTATTGGCAAGTTTTGGATTATAAGTTAAAGATAATATTCCCATTTTCGATAATTTAAGTCTTGGCTAGCTGAGTTTAGACCCTGCTTTTAATGACCTAAATGACATTCTTGCGAGGCGAAATACTCTATATACGGAAACAAACTCGAGGTACTTGGTATTATCGCCCGTCTAATCGCGTCCGCATGCGACTATTTCGAATCTTATATATACTAAGATGTCCTGTGACTATCTATTAATTTTTATAACTGCTTAATATTAAAAATTTCATTAAAGTTTGACTATCTCGCCATATAATTATTTGCGTCTGTATAAGAGCTTCAGAATTCTTTTTTGTCCCGGCTGCGCTGACTGACGGATTGAACCCCTATTCTATTCTATCCTTAAAGAAGTCCGCTATAGAGCCTCCTTGATCGAGAACTGAAAGATTAATACCCGCCCCGACGAATAGCCGAGGACAACTGCCGACCCCGCTACGGCCGAGCAGACCGACCGGTACTCCGTCGGCAGCTATAATAGCCTCTTCGAATTCCGCGTGATCCATACGCTATCCGAACTAACGCCATAGCCTGTATAATAAGGCTGTTGAGAAAAAGTTGGAATTAAGGTCATATTTAGTACTGGCAATAGATTAAGAAGAATCGTGCCAATATTAGTATAGAGATAAGAGCCAGTCGTATCGAAAGATAGAGTAGTGAGGACTGTTCCAATATCGAGCATATATATGAAGCGGCCTATCTCTAACTCCCAGATCCTGATGATATGTAAACCAAGGTTAATGCTATAATCGTATGACGCCGAAGCGAGCCGGGTGCTATCGGGCGAAAAGGCGAGAGAGCTAATATAGGTATTCTTAGCCCCGAGTGTCTGCAAATAGCGGCTAATTATTAGGTTCCAGATTTTGATAGTTCCATTATCCGATGCCGATGCGAGCCGGCTACTGTCCGGCGAGAAGGTAATAGAGGAAACAGGGTTATTATGGCCTTTGAGCGTCTGTAAGCAGTAACCTGTTACAAGATCCCATATCTTGATGGTATAATTATATGACGATGACGCAAGCTTGCTACTGTTATGCGAGAAAGCGACTGAGTTAATTACACGGCTGTGGCCCTCAAGTATATGCAGACGGTAGCCTATTGCTAGCTCCCAGATATTGACGGTATAATCGTATAATACCGAAGCGAGCCGGGTGCCGTCGAACGAGAAGACGACTGAGCTAACGTAAGTATCGCCGCTCTTTACCGGTTGCGAGCCAGTAGCCTTATCCTCTGATACTAACTTGACCTGGCTATTGTTAGGCGAGAAAGCATCGTTATTACTATAGCTCTTAATTGTCTGCAAATAGTGGCCTGTTACTAGGTCCCAGATCTTGATAATTTTATCCTCTGATATTGATGCGAGCCGGCTGCCGTCGGGCGAGAAGGCGACGGAAGTAACGAGACACCTATGGGTATCGAGTGTCTGTACAAAGCTGCTTATTACCGGGTCCCAAGTCTTAATAGTTTTATCTGATGCCAAAGCGAGCTTGCTACCGTCGGGCGAGAAAGTAATTGAGTCGACGTAATTATTATGGCCCTCGAATATCTGGAGGCAGTGGCCTATTGCTGCCTCCCAAATCTTGATAGTATTATTCCATGAAGCTAATACGAGCTGAGTGCCGTCGGGCGAGGAGGCCACTGAGGTGACGAAACTGTTACTCGTTCGGCCGGGCTCACCTGGTTCTCGCTTAGCACGCTTACCAGGTGAGGGAGGGCAATACGTAAAAACCAGCAATACGCAAATTTTTCCCGTAATTATAACTTGTATGCGCTTTTGCTCCGCAATTAATATAATTTTTAGCATGCTACGTTAATTATTTATCATATGGATAATGAGAAGCCAAAATGTACATGTTCTCTTCCCCCACTTCGGCCGATAGTCTTCTCCAGTTAAAATCGACCACGAGAGCAGATCTTATTTCCTATGATCTAACCCGGAACGCCTCTTCCTCGGCAGAATCGATCCGTTTCTTTCTCGGATCATGCTAATAAGTCTTATAACCCCTCTAATGATATCTCGTTCCTTCTTTCCTATAACTCCGTCTACTACTCCTACTTCGAGCTCACCAATTATACTCCGTACGATCCGATCATTCGGAATCTCTTTATTCATGTTTTTTTATTACGCTTCCAAACTTCGACTAATGACCCTGTATTAATTAATTCTTTTACTTCCGATGACTAATACCTAAATACCCCTTTTTATCCCCCAATACCACCCGATTTTTGAGGTACCAAGATATATATATCCCTTTTTTTTTTTTTTTTTTTTTTTTTTTTTTGGGAGATGCCCATGAGAAAATGGGTTTAAAAATGAAAAAAGAGGACCAAAAACCGATGGGGCGGGGGGGGCGTAAGGATTGGGTGCGTTCTGACACCCGTCTTAACCCGGAATACGGTAATATAACACGAAGGCCTTTTGCTTTTGCTCCGCCACAATTAATATAATTTTTTAAAGCATGCTACGTTAATTTTATTTATCACCATATGGGATAATGAGGAAAGCCCAAAAAGGACATGTTCCGCTTCCACCTTTCGCCAAAATAGTCTCTCTCAGTTAAAATCGGACCCACGAGAGCCGATCTATTTCCTATGATTCTAGACCCGGAACGCCCCTTCTCGCCCAAATCCGATCATTTCTTTCTCCGATCATTCGAATAAGTCTTTTACTACCCCCTCTAAAATGATATCTCGTTCCTCTTCTTTTCCGTCATAACTCGCGTCTACTACTCTAAGGAGTTAGAGTTCGCGGACGCTTTAAAAGCTCTTTATACTCCTTTATTTTCTGTAGAACTCTGAGCGGATTAAGGGGTATTAATCCAGTTTTCTTAAAGGAAGAGATTGCGATGCGCCGGCTCTTGAAAACCCTATCCCAAAATCTCTGGAAAATCGCAAAAAAGTCTGTCTTATTAAACTCCTCCGTACTATTAAAAATCTCTTAACAAAGCTCTTTTTGAAACCAGTATTTTAAAGATTGGAAGACAATAACGTCAAGTGGTTAAAGGAGGTGAGTTGTGTATATAGGTAATCTGAATGGTCGAATGCGATTTTCCCAGCAGAGGTATAAAAATTCGTCAGATAAATAAGAACCATGCCTATCGAAAATCAAGATCCTATAGGCACCCGTTCGTAAAGAAGGACAGTGCTTAATAAAGTACTTGAGATATTATAAACCCAGGCGATTATTTATAAAACCAGTAAGAGAGCATACAAATTCGATACCGCCGTTAAGTATCCGTGGAAAATATCCGCAAAGATAATATATTTCCTTGAAAATAATATATACAGGAATCTTCCTTCTACCGTAATTAATCGTAGCTATGACTATAACTAATTCTCGATTATCTGGATTAGTATTATATACTACTTCGCAATCCAGTGGTACGTATATAATATCCCCCGTTATGACTCTAATTTGGAAGCCACTCTCGTCAAAATTAGACATATTCTCCGTACGAATACTCCATTTTCTCCTGCACTTGTCAAAATTGGCAAAATGCTCCTTAATATCCTCTATAATATGTATACTCAGACGTTTCGCAGATATTGGTTTCTCTCGAATTTGCTTTAGGAATTCGTAATTGTGGGCGATCCAGGCTTTTGTCTATCTGCGAGATACGGAGGAATTAATATTGCCAGTATTATAATAAACTAGCCTGGAGGCACCTGTTTAAATCGCTTCCAGATTAGGACTTCGCCCGGAGGTATAGAGTATTAAGAGATAATCTCTTAAAGACTCATCTTGTAATACTGAGAGTTTTTTATTATGTCCACCCCGAGAGTTGCTTGCAGGACGACCCCTTTGCCGGGCCATTAATCGATCGTACGGGGCCCCAAAATGGGCTGCAGCCTTCGTTCCTTTGAGCCTAGGATCTCGATCCATAGCCTCAGAGGCCTTAGCAATTCGCTCTTCAATAGCTTCTGCTTTGGGTGGCATTTTGGTGGGTTGAAAAGTCGATGGTGGGGGGGCGGGGAAAAATTTGCGTATTGCTGGTTTTTACGTATTGCCCTCCCTCACCTGGTAAGCGTGCTAAGCGAGAACCAGGTGAGCCCGGCCGAACGAGTATGGCCTTTGAGTGTCTGTAGACAGTAGCCTATTACCGGGTCCCAGATCTTGATTATATAATCGTATGCCGCCGAGACGATCTGGCTACTATCGGGCGAGAAGGTGACTGACCCTACTTTCCTTCTATAGCCCTTGAGCGTCTGGAGACAGCGGCCGGTCGTCGGTTCCCAGATCTTGATAGTCTTATCCCGCGACGCTGAGGCAAGCCGTATATAGTCGGGCGAGAAGTCGAGGGAGTTGACCAAACTTCCATGGCCCTCGAGTATCTGCAAATAGCGGCCTGTTACCGGCTCCCAAATCCTAATAATGCCACTGTATGACGCCGATGCCAGGTTAGTGTTATTAGCGAGAAAGCGACAGAATAGCCACTGCTCTCGAGTATCTGCAAATAGCGGCCTGACGCTGCCTTCCAGATTCCAATTGTGCTAACCGATCCCGATGCAAGTATACTCGAATCGGACGAGAAAGCGACTGAATAGACGGGATTGCTATGGCCATTGAGTATTTGCAGACAGTGGCCTGTCGTTGGCTCCCAGATCTTGACGGTGTGATCGCCCGATGCTGAGGCAAGCCGCGTCCCGTCGGGCGAGAAGGCGATTGAGCTGATGGATCCGCTATGGCCCTCAAGCGTCTGCAGCAAGGCATTCCAATTACTCTCGACTTCCGGCGACCTTCGTATCTATTGAGGTATATAGTCTTTGAACTGCTTCCTTACTATGCTTATTGCCGGTATAAAAACCAGCGTATTATAGTATATCTGAAGGGGAGCCTGCTCGATTGCTGGCCGGTTATAGAGGACGAATCGCTTTGTGTTGTGGACAAATTCGGATAGCCGGGGGCACTCACATACCTAAACTATATATTAGCTAAATATTCGTATTATGCTAGAAGCTAGCTTATAGCTGCAATAGACTCTAAAGAAGCAATAGTATAGATCCCTTCAGAAACCTTTTATATCCAACCAAGAGCCTCAAGCTAATAAAGGAGATATTCCTATAGGAACTAATATACTTGGTTATTGTCGTAAAGTTAAGTACCGCTCTTGTAAAAATGCTAAACCTAGTAGAGATATATATACTAAACCTTAGGAGGAAGACTGCGCTTAATTCGGCTACTTTCTATATTAGCGACAAGTATACCAGGAGCTTCTTGTCCGCAGATATCTTGCTTAAGAGATATGGACATTAGCTATATATAGTAATTAGCTAATGTTTAATACGCTTGCTTCTCGTCTATATAAAAGTTCGAATTGCCGCATCTCTCTCTATTTAGCAGGAAGTCGCGAAATAAAGGATAGTATAGACGGAATAGGCAGGTCTGGTCCTTTGGGATATTTAGAATAGCATAAAGATTATTAAGTATCTGATCTACTTCCTGTTGCGAGGCGTTAATTAATTTGCTCAAGGATTAGGTAGAAAGCAGAGAGAAGAGGGTTATAATGCTTCCAAGCAAGCTTTTGAGTTTATAATACAGCTCTTCTGCTTCTTTAGCTATATAGTCTGCAGAAATCGAGTACCGAAGAATAGTAAGGTAAATCTTATTGAGGTGCTTTTCGGCCATATTAATAGTAGTGCTATTACTCTCCAGGATCATATCTAGTCTCTTTATAGCAAACCGTTTTCTTTTACGGATAAACCGGTATATAGTTGCCGCCCAGATAAATAGCCCACTTGCATTATTAAGCAGACGCTTAATAATCTGCTTACCTGGCCAGCCAGTACCCAGAGAGCGTTTACTAGCAATAAAATTAAGGTTATATTATAGAAAGATACTAATATCGTGGTCCATAATTAATAGTAATATATTATAGAGTATAAAGTCCTGGCGTTTAGTATTTGGGATCTGAGAAAAGCCGTATCGTATCGGAATTTCAGGTCTGCTTATTAGAAAGACCCGAAGTCGGACCGTCTTTAATATTCGAGCTTTAGTTAAGAGTTATAGAATTATTCTAATATTAACCTCACTATTACACTTATTAAGGGCATTAACTATAAGCATAAATAATAACGGACATGAGCTACTATCTAGCCTTAATAACGGACGGAGGATAAGCTAGTGCCACTAGTCGCAGAGAGACTGGTTTGTAATATTATTCTGCTTTATAATAGTATTAGAGATAAATTATTAGATTTGCGGTATATTATATGCAAGCTATATAGCAAGACTCGTAAAGAACTTGCGAGTATGGCTAATATCTCTACTACCTCTTAAGAAGAAGAAGCTCGCCCCAAGGCGCTTTTAATTCAAGTATTTACGGGCAATAGTATATATAATCGTCGACTTTCCTGTACCGGCTAAGCCATTTAGCCAGAAGATATACCGCTTATCTTGTCTAGTAGCCTAGCCGTATATCTATTATAGCAGGTCAATTCGGGTATCGGAGAGGCAGGTAGATAAGTATTATTTATTATATGAATTAAATAGTATATTAGTAGTAGATAGAAGATAATCAAGTCCTGAGTTACTAGTTAGCGCTTAGTTTGATTACTAATAGAGGATATTAAACCGAAGTTCTATGCTTATCCTTTAAAAGTTTATTAATCTTTTCCCGGAGTCGCTTTAATGCCGTATCTCTTCCTTTACTATAGAGAAGGGGGATTTAGATATTGAAAATGCCAAATAGCGAGTATGCCTTGTCTTCTTCACGTGTAGTCTGACGGGTTTTGGCCCATAATAATCGTTTATTAACGTCGAACTGAGACAGAGGGGTTCCTCGAAGCACTATAATAGGAATTTCCGTTATCTCGTAAATTTGTTACTCTAAGGTTCTCTTATTCCCTAAACGGTTTCCTTTTTGGGAGAAGAACTCAACCGAATCTAGGCCTGGGGCAAGAAGCTCTTGAAGGGTCTAACCCCGAGTAAACCATTTACTTAACCGAAAAGCTAATTCCCAAGTATATTCAGAGAACTAATCGCTTGCTTTCCGCTTCCTTGTCGAAACGTCTGATAGATAGACGTAGTATTTGGCCGTATTCTGGTACTAGCGGAATATTGAGTTAATAGCCTCCTGAAGCTCGACGGTATTGGATTTATTAATATAGCAGGTATTGACCCAAAAGAGGTATAAACTATTGCGTTTGGCCCGTTTTCCGCAAAACCAGATCTTGCCATAGCTAGCCTTGCTCTTACCAGTACTATCTATTAGGTCTCTATACGTGACCTCTTCTGTGTCCGCCCCCCATATGTGCGAAAGGATAGTATATTCGGGAATCTTGCCATTAACGAAGTCCTTGGTAAGGCTAAACTCGCCATGGTTATTATATTCTAGTAGGCGCATTATTTAGACAGGATCTGAGGGGATATCTGAACGAAAGAATATTAGTAAATAGTTATTATAGAATGCATGCATTTATTAAGCTGGGAGTAAAAGCTGGATCGAGGTTAGTACTTATAGGGCTTAGCTAGACAATAACCTTGCGGTATAGTATTATATATTATTACTAGGAGTACGCCAGACCAGCCAATTGTGGCTAGCTACTAGAGAAGATTATAATAGCTGTCCGGACTATCTCTACTGCCGTATATATACCTATGGAAAGTTCGAGAAACCTGCTACTATACTATATGCATAATATTCTTACGCCATATATATAACCAGGCCCAAGAATCGTGGCTTAGTAAAATATAGTAGCCCGGACTTGAATACCGTATATTATAACCAGGCTAATATATATTAATAAGTACTAAATTATAAAGCTAAAACATATGGCGTTTATAACTTCCCTCGTATGGCATAAGTCCGGACTATATTATTTTCCTCTCTGAGTATCTTCAAAACTTGGAGTCATATTCTTTCTTTATGGAACCTTTCCCCAAGTACTCCGAATTTTGAAGAGACTCTAATAGTCGCGATTAAGCAGGGGGAAATAGCCGAAGCGGTAATTAGTGGCGTGATTAAAACGATTAATAGCATGATTAATACTATTCTTTTTCTTATTATTGACTAGTTTCCTTAGGGAGAAATAATTAAAGAATAGTAATATATTAATAATTACTTTATAAACTTGCCAAGAAAAAATTTGAGATTCCTAAACTATAGATTCGTCTCGTAATAGGGTACGTCTCTCGACCCAGGGACGGACGTTAGTTAAGTTTTTAATCGGATGAATTATCTATCTAAGAGATCTAGTTATAAAGAAGAAGCTCTTAATAACCGTTCTATATAATAGAACCCTTTATATAGTAAATACTAGGAGAGATAGAAAGTATAAAAGCTATATTAATTATAATTATATATATCGGTCTTTGAGTATATATGAGCCTATAAGTAGATAAAGCCAAAGGCGCTTAGTAATTCAAACATATATATTAAACTAGTAAAAATAACTATAAAATGAAATATTTAGTAGCTATATCCGTAAATATTATATTATAGTTAGTATTATCTTTCTGGAATTCTTGCTATATAAACTATAGCTCCTAGGAAATTGAGTATTACCGTAATTAATATATATATATTAGGCCTATCCTATAGTTCTGAGTCACCTAATTATAAATAATAAGCTCATATATTATAAAGACTATAGCCAAAAGGCTAAGGGAAGCATATATTATAGTTTAATATAGCCTGAGAGCTAGATATCGAAACTTTGGGCTTAAGGTTACTATGGTATAAATTATAGCCAAGATAGAGACTATAACCTAGTATAGGTTCTATAGATATAGATCGTAATAGAATCCGTAATAAACTAAAGGAACTATTAATCCCTATATAAGAATAATAATTCCCAGATAGTCGAATTAATTCTAGTATACTACTATCTTTTTACTATAATTTAATATAATATAAAAAGATATAAAAAGGGAAAAGTATAGGATTACTTTAAAAAAGAATATTATAAAGCTAATTATATTACTAATTTGGATAGTAGTATAATAACTATATACTTTTATATATATATATATTAGAAGTATTATAAAAAGAATTATACCGAGAAAATAAAAGTAAATATTTATAATCTTATTATAAACATATTATAAGTTATTTAGGGACTTCTAAAAGAATTCAGATATAGGCTAATATCTAGTAAAAATAAATTTATTATCTTATTACTAGCTAGGCAGGTTATTTTATTATAGGAATAAATAGTAGCTATTTTGGTTTCTAGTTTGCCTGGATCTATAAGCTATTAGCTAATCTATAGTTTCTCTCTATAAATGCAAATTTAGTTTAGAGGCTATATTTGCCCGATTCCTATATCTAAAGCAATTATTTATTAGGAAAGTAATAGAGCTAGAAGGGAATTTTCTAAAAATAAATATTTTAGTTTAGGGATCTAAAAATAGTTCTATATTATATTATGCCTTTTTAAGTAAGCTAAGTAATATATTAGTACTTATTTCTAAAACTATTATAATACCTTCTAGCTTTTAATTCTTTATACTTTATATTAAATGGCCCTAATTAGATTAAATAACCTTAAATATAATAAGTAAAGAAATAAGTACTAAAAAGAATTATTAAAATATATTTATAAGTTTCTTTTTATATATCTCTTTTAATTCTTACTAATAAAACTTTAAAGAATAAAATAGAAATCTTAATTAAACTATTATAAGTTTGTCTTATAACTAGAACTAATAATTCTTATATATAAAAAGTTTTACTAAAAAAAAGATATCTTTTCTCTAAAAAATATAAGTAATTATTTAATT